CGAATGTATCATCATAACTCGTAGTTTCCTTTTGCACAATTTAGTGCAATGGGAAAATGCGTAGTTGGAGAAGTACAGCGTATGAAAGGTCGGAAGATCGAATCCAGGAGAAGAACACCTAAAAATTATTCTAAAACGAATATCTCTCCTATAAAAAGTATTCTCTAAACTACTTCCGTTATCTGATATGCTAAAAGCCGTTTGAATCATTTCCAGAACTGAGAATCAGAAACTGCTCACGCATTCAATAATACCGTTTAAAGAGAAAAAGTTTTTTACAAGAAAACGGATGTGAAAGTGCCGCATGCGAAATTTTTCCTCTGTCTTTTTCTTCTGTATTTTAGATAGAATATGCATGAGTTTTGCCAAATAATATTTGTCTGTCCAAAATTGTGTATATATGAAGTATAAATTTGAATATTTATTCGGATACAGTCAAATTATTGTGTTTATTAATTGTTTTGATGGATGTAATCAGAGACACTGGTAAGAAACTAAAGAGTTTGGTGATTATCAAGATACTAAAAGTATGACTAACTAGTTGGTAGTAGTACCTATGGAGTTCAATAGAACGGATAAGAATGTAGTTAATTATATAAGCCCTAAAACAGCCGGAAGGTTTAGCGATATATCATCTTCTTCGGCATCATCGTTTGAAGATGCACTATCGGCATTGAATCGTGATGTTTTGTCTAATTGCGACCGTATTTCTTCTAACGTTCTAGCGGATAACGGTAATAATAATTCACATATGCGTTGTCTTAACATTTGAGTAAAATAGTCTCCTTTTTTATTACTTCCCCTAAAATAATCTTGTGTCATCACATCGTTTAGTTTTTCCACTCCTTGCATCGTAAATTTGTTCAAGTTTTTGAAGATTTTGTAAAACTCTCCAATATGCGCGCTTAGTACGTGAACATAAGGAGTAACTTCGTCGATTCCGAACAGTATACCATATTTTATGCCCCATTTTCTGGCATCCTTCGAAAGTTTTTCGATAAATTCCGTTTCGTCGCTTTTTTTAATATCCAGCTTTGCTCGTTTTAATAAATTAAAGAAATTTTTAATCAATGACATGATCTTCCGTGCTTTGTGTTTGTCTTGTATAATTATATCCAATGGTAGAGTGGAAGTGAATTTTAAATGCATTGGACCGGTAACTGTGCTTGTCACGACAATTTTCTTGTTTTCAAGTGAAAAACGAATAGGCACCTAGAGTTATGTAGACAATAGCTTGTAAATAAGAACGCACGAGTAATGCGATGTATGTATTGAAACGTTTTGGTTGTGACTCGTTCAACTCTTTTGTGTAAAGATAAACTGCATTGACCATACAGATCAAATTTTTGCTTACAGTTTCAGTTTGCTGAAGAAGTACTCTTTTTTACAGTGTAGACATAACATTCCTTCATTTGTCTCGCGATTGAAAGGAGAAGCAAATACAGATTTACTTTTGTTTCGTTTGCATACACTCTAAAAAATACCAAGGCGCTTTCTAGTTGATCTTCTGCTTCTTGAACAGTAATTTGCGGATCTTTTTTTGATTTTGGTTTTACTTCGATTGCTGCTCGGATTGCATACTTGAGAAGAATATCGCATATTCGAAGCATCATATGGAGCACATCCACAACTATGTCTTGATATCTAAAAATTTAGAAAATTTAATTAGAATTGTAAATAAGAGGGAAAAAAGAGATACTGAAACTTGAGAAACTGAATTACTGAAAATGATTCTTGAATAACGGTCGCTCCTTATAGCCAAAGTTAGGTGTTGCTTTGTCTCTCTCCTCCATATGCTCTTCGATTGATCGTGCATTTTGAGTTGTATCGAATGCGGACCATTTTTCAAAATGATCGTGTCCGATTTGTTTTCTGTAACGTTTTTTCTCTCTTTTTTCTTGTTGTCGAGTTTTTTTTCTTCTGTCTAACTTTCTTTGCTTCTTACATTGATAATAGGCTGAGTCAAACTAGAACAGATGATAAGATACGTTGTGAGAAGCTCAACAGAATGTTAATGGTAAAAGTTTGTTAATGATGGAATTACACAAGTTAGAAGGAGAAATTGCCTTCAAAACTTACATATTCATACTCTTCGGAACCGCTGCTTTTTTTTCTTGTCCATGATGATGTTAGACTTTCCTTCGAAAAGTTCGAGCTGGATGACATTTCCTAGTGCAGTACAAGAAAGTAGATGCAGATGCATTATATTATATTGTCAGTTATTTACTTCATCAGTCGACTCTGTTGATGAGGACGAGATGGAAGAAGACTGATCAGTTTCACTTGACAAAGAATCACTCAGTTGTTGCGTTTTTGTTGCTGACTGAGTGATGTTTTTCTTGCGTTGTTTTGAGTATTTGCACCAGATGCAATAAAAATCCGAGGTGGGACCTGATAGTCCCATTACTAAACAAGCCATCTTATAGTCTGAACTATAGGTGAATTTTAATCGATAAGTTGTATCGTTTATAATGATAGTTTGGCCAGTAGCGAACATATTGATGAATTCATTTGGTATTGCTTGTTCAAGATTTTCTCGATTTTCTTTCGTAATTCGAAAATAAGCAAGTGGTATCAACGATTTGGTCTTTTGACCCTCGACACCAACATCTACCCATCCTAATGATGATGTCAAACAATTTAAGGATCGCCCTGCCCATGTGCCATCTTGGCACAAGCGAAAGTGCAACACACCTGGTTCCGATAGATGCGTTAAAACGTTTGGATATAATGTGGTAAATATCACCACAGCGTGGTTTACGTTCAAGTACGAGCCGTATTCCGTGGTTTTTAGTGGTATCCACTTCGACAATGATTGACGAATTTTTAATAGGGTGTTAAATGGTGGACACTTAACATTATGTTCTTGCTCTATATTCACTAGATCACGGTATCCCTTGTCACTAACATAATTTTTTATTTTCCATAACAGGAACTGTTTATAGTAGTTGTTTCTGAAGAGTATCTGCTCTTTTATTTCATCTAATTCAAATTTTTGCAATACGTACTCTAGATGATCTTCCGAAGTGAAACAAGTGGTTCGACGTTGCAGAAATGAGTCGATTTTAGAGCGTGTTCGTGTATAAATGAGATCGTCAGTTGAAATGAGTGTTTTCTGGTCTCCACTAGATGGTACCTAACAAAAGTAACGAGATAATGTCGGTTGCGATCCGGTGCGACAAAGATTGAAGTAAATAGAAGGTTTTGAGCTTAAGCATGCACAGAATAAAGTAAGCAGTGATTCCGTCATGATCTTGACAAACATGAGGAATTCAGTGATTTTCTACATGATCTTTTATATGCAGTCTTGCGAAGGTACGTAGGTTCAGACACGTGCTATACTTACGTCGACATGTTTCTTCAAAGGACAGGAAAATGTAATATGTTGGGCTTTTGTTTGAGACTGTACTGATAATACATCAATAACACTTAAACGGTTAGTTATACGACAATGTAGTTGTTTTTTGTCTAATCTATTTTGTTCATCCAAAGTCAGCTGCATTTCGATTGTGTCAATAAATAATTTTAACATTGACTCAACCGGTTTAGCGTTGTTCTTGTACAACACTCGAATACGACTGAGTGGAAATGATACAGTTATTTCGTTTCTATCATCACTTGTTGCAACATTAACTGAATCCATGAAATTTAGTTCATCCAGTTCTTCAATTTCTAGAAAATCTAATGCCCATGTAGATGGAGACAGGACCTGATGTTGTACACACACAAAATGATACACATCATTTTCATCTGAGATGGTGTTTGATAGTGATAATATTTCTCCATTCAATTCACCATTTAGAAAATTTTCTGTTTCTAACTTAATGCGAATTATTGTTGTTGGCCAAAAACTTGTTGATGAGCGATGTGCTTTTCGTTTCATACCTTTTCTTAACTTTAACCTACTTAACGCTTTTTTCAGTTCTGTTAATATCGAATGATTTGGACATAATAAATTCTTTTGACAGAGTATGCGTTTAATGAAGTTAACTAATTCTTGCAAAATTGTATTATTATTCAGTTTTGGATCGACCTTGATGAATGATTCTATATTTATATTTAATAATGTTTTATTCTCTTCCAAAACATTCTTTTTTCTCCCTTTCTAAATTGAATAATACTCTTATTAAATATAGGTTATGCGGGGTGATTTATGAAAGTGTCACTAGTTTTTTCGAAAAATGGTGTTACTTTTATTCTCTAACCTAACCACTTACATATAGCAAGTGATAGCGATTCAAGATTCTATTTTTTCATGTCACATAGTTAGTTTTCTTACCGTTGTTGTAGTTAAAAGTGTATCCAGATCCATATCACTACATACTGACTTATTGTCATTAGATATGTCCATATCATCACATACTGACTTATTGTCATTAGTTGGATCTACATCATCACAGCTCATTGGATCGTTTTCTTTTTTTCCTTTGAATAAGACAAGATGACAAATCCATTTTTCCCTGTATCTGAACGTCAGATTCCGACTAAATATTTACATAAAATATGTAGTATAATTTTGTCTGAGAAAAACTTTTGAGAAACTTCGTACCTTATAGGACTTTATCTTACTCAATTCATTTGGTTCTTCTTTTGTTTTAAGAATATTCGGTACAATTTGAATTGAAGAATTGCACTGCCAAAAAGTAAAGACGTTAAAATTTTAAAATTTTAAAAGTGCATGATTAACTCCACTAACCTTTTTTACCACAGGTACAAAATGATTTGGACGCCATTCAGTGCCAGTTTTTTGTTTTTTCGGTAGGAGTTTGTGAGACCATAACAAAGTAATTTGTCCATTTGATAAAACATTTTGTTTTGGCTTGAATATTGTGTTTAAATGATGTGAAAAATGTAATGGTAAATTTGAAATGAAATCCACCGCTGTTGTGTCGCCAATATTAGGATAAATCAGACGAATATCACACTTCACAACCGATGGTAATGACACTAAGTCCCACGGTGATGAATCATAAAAATTTTTGACCATTTCCTTCATAACATAATCTTCCAGTTTTTCAAACAATGTCTCGTAATGTGGATATTGTTGTTTATATATTGTCGAATTTACTGTCAGTTCGATGATGTTTCGAAGTCTAAGTTCAAGTACTGATATTGACTTAGTATGTAATAATTCAATTGAGTTATATAGACAATTACCATCACCTACTGTATATAATGGTATGATTTCGTTAGTATAATTAATATTAGAACAATAATTTTTTAAATAGGTCAAAGCTGTTCTGTCGATTTCGTCCACTCTTTCGTTGAAAATCGATCGAGGATTGTAGACGAAAGGAAAGTAATTTAATATTGTCTCATAGCCTCTACAAATATTTTTGAAACGAGTAAAATCAAGTTTCTTGGCTTCTGATTGTATTTCTTTTATAGCCGTTTCAACAATATTTTTCCGTCCAATAACTTGAACAGTTCGTTGCAATTCAATGTTACTATCGTTGAGCGTTGATTGTGTATTTTCCTATAAAATGCACGATTACCGATAAATAAATAGACATAAGTTAAGAAACAGCGCCAAGGAGATGAACAGATAAAACCTATCTTACAATGTTTGCCATTTTCGATTACACTTTTAGTTTTGTGGGCAGATTAGGAAAACTAAATGTTTCTTTTTCTGGTTATGCAAAACTAATGTGTGAATAATGCCAGGATTTGCTTTCGATGTTTTTATCTACAATAATAAGAACCATATTAGAGTGAAAGAGACAGACAACTATGTGGAGTTTGAATACATAACTACTACGGCGAAAGGATAGTAATTAGATCAATCTAAAGGATGAGAAAACAAAAGAACCCGCAAATTATTGTTTATTATTTTAAAAAAGAGTCCAGAAAAATAAAACTGATTGCTGCGGATGAAAAAGAGAAAAAATTAATCTTTTTGGAAACGGGTCCAGTCTAGCTTGCCTCGGAGCTCTTGTGACATTTTCTCCCGATCTGAAACGGAAGAACGCGTTGAATGTCTTTTTTGCAAGTAGTTGCATTAGTTAATTTAATTGTTAAATGGTTAAGATATAATAAGTTTAATTTTACGTCGCACAATAAGCAATAACACTGATGTTCATGCATAGTCGAAGTTTTCAGTTTTTAAACTATAATATGACAACAACAAACTATATAAACGTTCGTTAAATTGTCCTGAAGTTTCGAGTCTTTTAATAGTAAATGATTAAGTGAAGAGATCAACTTGTGTTTGATGGGGCGACGTTGACCGATACTTTTTTAATACAATATTTAATGTAACAGATAATCGTGATGATAACAATGAAATTTAGTGCTATAACGCCGGTAACAATGAATAGATAACTGAAATATTTTGTATTTACATTTATATGAGTTGAATCAATAGTATTTTTGATACGACGTTGTTCATCTAATAATTTTGAAATACTTTTGCTAATACTACTGAGATGATTAGCGTCATTCATGAACGGTAATAAGATCTTATTATCAACTGTAACATTATGTATCAGACTTACGACTTGATCATTTTTTAGAAATTTTCCATTGCTTACCATATAAAAATCGATCGATGACAAAGAAGATGAATTTACTGGACAATATCGAGATGATGCTTCTATAAAAATATTTTGATTACACTGCATAACTGTTTGACACGGTAAACTAACGAGTGCAAACTTTTTGATTACAAAAAGTTGACCGAAAAGGTTACTTTTGTCAGGTATGTCTTTCATAACACAAATAGTATCATTTTTAACCGATATTATCCATTGATTCTCTCGAATATTATTAGTATACGGGAAAGTCTTGGCTGATGGCACATATGAACATGGTCTATCATTATTTTCCGTAAACATGTTTTTTAGGCAGTCATTTTCAATATAATTCATCATTACTGGCAAAACATGACAAAATGATATGTTTTCAAAGTAACATGTTGCTAGATTGCGATCATTATTGTACCATGAAATCGACGTATTATGCAGATAATCGATAGCAATGTACTGTGGAAGTCCAAACACTTCATATGAGGAATTGTTATCGAAAAATGGCGTACTATTTACCTGATAAACAACTGAGTAATTATCGTCATCACTCGAAATAAAAAACGTCTGTGTGATGATTAAATTACCAATGAATACAATCAAAGAAGTATCATTTACTTTTTGGTTCCCATTTCCCGTATTATTGCTATTAATAGCAAAGTGAAACGATTGAGATGTTAATAAGCGATTAGCTGTTAAGAACAGAGGCTGCTCGAATTGCATAAAAAAATTCGGCGCATGTTGTAATAGTGTATTGTATAATTGACTAGCTTCATCTTTTGACAGATAATCCATGTTTGGTTTTCCGTCTATCAGTTTATGTAGCGATGCTTGTATCTTACCATAGTGAAGTTCCTCTTCGATCGCTGGTAGCGACTTTTGTTCAATATTATTAACGGCGTTTTCTACTGTTTTCAATTCGTTAGCCAGATACATGTATCGTTCTCTTAGATCATTAATTGAGTGTCGAGAATTATTTAATTATTCTACAATTAATTTCTCGTTTTCGGTTACAGATATCACAGAAGCTATTGTTGATTTTAATAAATCATCCCGTTGCTGTACGTATTCGAGAATTCTTTTTTGCGTATTTTTTATATTAGATATTTGGATACTATTATATGATGATAAGCCAAGACCTGCGGCACCGACAGCTAAAGTAATTAATTCAGCTATAAATCTTTTTCCACGTTTTAATGTTATATTCCGTTCCGATAGATAATCTTCGAGCACATATGATAATGGATGATATATAGCCGAATTTTCTCGTTGTTGTGCGCGTTTAGATTGTGTAATTATGTCGTTTGAAACAACCTTACAGATGTTCAATTGTCGATAAACTTTGGGAGGTAGAAGAAAACAGCCGTGTTGAGTGAGTGGAATTGATATTACTATGCTAGTAGTATTTCTCAATCTAATTAACGTACCAATTTTACTCACTATGATGGTAGCATTATTGTTGACCAAAGTTTCATCATTCGGTGGCTTTTGCCAAGAAATACTATTTGGTAGAAGACTTAGAATCAAAAACACAACTGCATTCATTGTTCTATTTTTGAAATAGGAGAAATGATAGTGATAAAACAGATGAAACGATAGTTGATATAATGATAATGGCTAGACTGATCACTAGTGTATATGTCTATGTCCAGTAGAAAATTCCACACACAGAGATAACGATAGACGTGAAAATGATTAATATGTAACGAGAAAGACATATGTTCTCTCCTTTTCGCTCTTGATAGATGAAGTTGGAATATCAGTAGTTTAGTGTGAAGATAGTAATTATGATATCACAAAGCTGTTCATACATTTATTATTACAAGCAGTTTGGATGAGACAGCAACAAAAACCAGAAACATAATTAATTCCTATAAACCTTTTCTATCTATTATACTATATGAATCTAACAATCTTAAAATACATACCATTTTAGAACATAAGAATTTATTCTAAAATTCATATATTGTTCTATTCACAAATTCTAAAATATTCGTTTACACTTCTGTTCATAAATTCTGAAACTAATATATTTTTATACTGAGAAAGTCTAATATTCTCTTGTATACCGAAAACTCTGTAGGTAGTTAGTGGTCTCATTATATCGTGTGATGACACAGTATCACCTATAGATAAACTTTTAATAAAGTATGCCATGCGCTGCGCAGGTCATCGGATATTTTCAAATTCAGAACTTTTAAATCAGATGGATATCTCTAATTATATTGGCAACAGACAGACACATTATTGAGAAATAACTGCATTTATAGCTGAATTATTTTTTAATGATGGGTTGAGTTTTTGTTCTCATATGAGTTTAAAAATATCTAGAACAACGTCGATATTCTATTTGAGATGCAAAAGATCATTCGATCATCGCTTGTGTTGTAGTTTCAGTACGGGTAGATCTGGTATATTTCTGGTATACTCTCTTTTTTTGATAACACTGTATACATATGTAATAATTGTTTCTTTCATCCTTCATGCGAAACATTCAACGAAACATTAAGCATTTATTTGCTTAAAATAGAAAGTGCTCATGTTATGTAGTTATTGTGCTATGCCAGAAAGAGTGAGATGGACGACTTTCTTTATTCAACAAAATTGATCATGCAGTACGATTTTTCAATTTTTTACATAGTAGACTTTTACTTATAATTTGAGAAAAGTAGCGTATTTTGTGCAGTTGTATTCGCTCTTTTGACTAATATGTACTGCAGAATTTTAAACCAAAGAGCGGAGAAAAAGGAAGCGAAATACAAAACAGTCGTTTTGTTCTATTTTCTGATATTTTTTTGTGATGCTTCGTGTAATAAATTCATATTTTCATCAGCAAAAATTTTTTGTTTTTCAAATTCTGCTCATTCGATTCTTCACACAAAACTGTAAAGGCGCTTAAGGTTATTAGCCTCGAAAAACGTTTCCTCATGAAAATATGAATTTGATCCGAGAAGCAGCACAACAAAATATCGAAAAAATAGAACAAAACGACTGTTTTGTATTTCGCTTCCTTTTTCTCCGCTCTTTGGTTTAAAATTCTGCAGTACATATTAGTCAAAAGAGCGAATACAACTGCACAAAATACGCTACTTTTCTCAAATTATAAGTAAAAGTCTACTATGTAAAAAATTGAAAAATCGTACTGCATGATCAATTTTGTTGAATAAAGAAAGTCGTCCATCTCACTCTTTCTGGCATAGCACAATAACTACATAACATGAGCACTTTCTATTTTAAGCAAATAAACTACAATAAATTTGCAACATTTTAGCGGAACTCCGAACTTTACAGGTGATTTAGTTGCGATTAAATATCAAACATAAGCTAATATGAGTTTTGTACATAAGTTAATGTGTTTTTTGCAGTTTAGATGTACAAAATATATGATTAATTTGGGGATGGGACGAAGACTGTCGACATGTTTATAAGTAATGAACATGTTCTTTGGAGATCATAACCTTTTATTTCCCCATTTCGTTCGACTTTCAGACTAGGAGAAAAACTTGTTTGTATGATAATTAATGAAGAAAAGAACATATTGTAGAACAGTCTGTTTCTTTTAAGAACATGTCGTCCAGGAAAAGAACATCCGTTCATATTTTCCTATTCTTTTCTTTTCGTTTGGATTCCTATCCACCTGTTCTTGGTCGAAAAAAAATGGAATATCAAAAAGAAAAAGATATCAGATTTGTTCTTTCGTTCTCTTATTACGCAACTTACGTCTTTCGTCGCATCTCTAGATTAATTTATACAAGAATGAAATAATAAGCATACTTGATAAAATATATCATTTGATTTCTTCCTTACGCAGGTTGTGAAGTGAAATACACTCAGTATGCTTATTCAGTACTCTTGAGAAAAGTTGTTCACAGCAATTGAGTGTTTGTGTAATGCGTATTTAAAAGTTAGCGAACAAAATTTAGTTCAAATTTCAAAGGTGTTCTCTTGTTTTTATCGACTTTTCGACAAATTTCTTCGTAGCTTAGTTTGATAAAACTAGATTAATTTGTAGCCTGTATTTTGTTCTAGAAAATGCTAAAAGTTATTTAGATAACAGTTTTGCACGTATACACAAACGTCGTCAACAAATTGAAATATGTAAGTGGAATGAAGAATGCATCACCACAAAATGGTCTCAATTTACATGAACTCCATTTGCCAACCAAAACATTCAAAGAAGTAAGTGTCAAAAATATCAGACTAAGCTATGCAACTAAAACTTTTATTTATTTTAGGACAACGACGTGTTTTGCATTTAATACGTAATTTAGATTCATTTGTTATTATTGCGTTGATGCAAAATTAACGACCGTTTTTATTGATTCTGAATTTATTTAAATTTTTGATCGAAATCTAGTGGGTTACAGGTTATCGACCATGCTGATTTCGACGATGACCATGGGGGTTCCCCATATTCCTTCGAAGATCCGTTTTTCTGGAAAACCAGTTTTTTAGAAACTCTAAAAAATAACCCAAAGATTTCTTAACAATGCAGGCTTATAGCCCGTAAATTTCTGATTAAAATGAGGTGTCCCTCAGCTCTGCACGACCTTTATTTGTAAAGTTACAGAATTTATAACAAAAGCCCTAATTGTTCATTGTTAGCTCAAAGCTACAGAAATAATTAATTTAGGGTTCTTCTTATAAATTCTATAACTTTACAAAGAAAGGTCGTATAGAGCTGGGGGATGCCTCATTTTAATCAGAAATTTACGGGCTACAATCCTGCATTGTTAAGAAAACTTTGGGTTATTTTTTAGAGTTTCTAAACAACTGCTTTTCCAGAAAACCGGATCTTCGAAGGAATATGGGGAACCCCCATGGTCATCGTCGGAATCAGCATGGTCGATAACCTGTAACCCACTAGATTTCGATCAAAAATTTAAATAAATTCAGAATCAATAAAAACGGTCGTTAATTTTGCATCAACGCAATAGTTATTATTAGAGTATAACTACTGTTCATTTAAAAAGTCCGTGCGTGTGGCTATTTTATAATAACTCGATAACGACAAGGTATAGAGACTAGTGATATTCACCATTCGATAGCCAAGATCCGAATGCATTGATTCATCAACAGAAGTTTTTTAAAATTATTTCTTAAAAACTAGTTGTCTAAGAGATCTCTAAAAAATCATTTCATAAATCGAAAATTTAGCATGACTATCTAGTGAAAACTTATATTAAATAAAGTAACCCATTTTTGGTTATTTTTGAGTACAATTAAAAAATTCATAACCCAATAAAGATCCATCCAAATCATGTCAGAATATCACCATATATTCTGTTTTACCTGATCAATACGATCATCAATATTTACTTGAGAATAATGTAAATTCGTAAAAAATATTAAATTTTTTTCTTCGAATTGACGCAACTTAATTTATTAGAAAACATTACTGAAGAAGTCGACTGGCAGAAATGCCTTTTAAAAGATAGTAAACGTATGATAAAGAAGTCTTACTGCAAAAATTTCTAGAAAAGCTTTTCTAAAAACCAAAGTATTTTCGGTTGATTGTTAGAACTTTTATTGGGTTGCATGGTATTGAGCAGGTAAAATACAGTATATGATGATATTCTGACATAACTTGGATTGATCTTGATTGGGTTGAATATTTTAATTTTACTCAGAAATACGTAAAAATGGGTTACTTTATCTAATATAAGTTTTTATTAGGTTTGCGGAACTATTTTGAAAAACTAACTTTCTTCCGGGCTTCAGCGCGGTCGATTACCTACGTTTCCATAAGAGGTGGCTCATGACTTATTACTCGGAAAGAATTTGTGACTTGTCACTAACAATGAGCAACAACAGACGCTAGATTGTTACTTTTGGTAACGTAACAAAGAGCACGGTTTTTTTAAAAAACAGGTATTTTTTGAAGTCTTCTTGTAATTTTAGAAAAACTTTTGAATTTCATTAGACGTGTTACAAGT